CGCAAACGCCCAGAGCCCGAGAGCTTCCCGCAGGGGGGAAAACCGCTCGCTGCCCTCAGGTTAGCCCCTCCCGCCCAGGAAGCGCGCCCAGAGCTCCGGCGCCAGCCTGCACCCTCGCTGCAGATGACTGTAGATGTTCCTAGCTTCTTGGTAAGGCGGCCCTTGTAAGGGTCCTGTAAGGCAGTCCTTAAAGCCGTAAGGACGTGTGAGACAATTACTGATATTTAACAACAAGGCAATGGCTAAGGGGTTAGTTTGTGGCCTTAGTGTTTTACTCATTCCTACCAGAAGCGTAGAACAAACTTGTGGTTTGAGACTTCATTCCCTTACCCCGGGCTTTTCCCAGGACCTTTGAGTTCACCTGGCGGGAGGAGGATCCTGAACCTGCCGGGCAACGCAAGCCCCGCGCCGGCGCTCACGGGGGAGCGCGCGCACACGCTCACACTTGAACGCTCAGCAATCCTTTTCCAAGGCTGTTCCCTCTTTCCGGGGAAATAAAGCCTAGATTGGAACCTTCTGCCGGCTTCCTCGCTTGGCCGTCTGGTCTGCATTAGTGTTTTTATAAGGGACTCAAACAAATCGAATACAAGGTCACCAAATAATTAACAGTTGTGAATTCCCTCCGTCCCCATTAAAATACTTCCCCGCTTATATTTCATTTTCCGTTTGCCAACGACAACAGGGTCCGGGCAAAAGTGCTTCTGCGTTGATTACAAAAGTGCTCTGCGGCCCAGGTCCACCCAGAAATTCGCGGTTTTGCCTAAACATGCTGTACCAGACGAACTTCAATCGCAAGGGAGCTCTGCCGCTCTTAGAATGCCCTCTTGGCAGCCTTGTTACCCCAACCACTGCCCCGCCCTGCCCCCTGATAAGCACGGCCCAGAAGGCAACCCAAGGAGCCAACAAACGATCAGCCGCAAACTCTCCGGAGATTCATTTCTAGGGTGTCAAGTTCTTCAAGGATGTTCTGATCTCGTTTTGGTTTTTATCTGTTCCCTACTGCCTCCTTGGTGAGAGAGCTAGTGTGACAACGACCAGAAAAAAAAAAAAAAAAAAACTTTTAAAGGGTATTCTTATTTCAAAATCATCTGGAAACCTAAGTCGCAGCAATATTCTTAGACTCATTTTGGTTTCCTCATCTTTGGGAGCTGTTTTGTCCCCCCTGTTGGAATTTTGTGGCACTTCTCACTACATAAACTGAAAGCCAGGTTTTGTTTCTCTCCCTCCCCCTGTATCTCTCAGCCACGTCTAACCGTCTGACTTTCCCAGGCCCCACTGTCCACTGATTTAATGAGTTATATCTTGTACTCACTCTAATTTCTCTATATCCAGCCCTGTCCATTCTGATCCTGTGACTGCACTAACATACATGCGCACACGTTCTCGTCTTTATAGATCCAAAATCATTTAAAAGAACAATATGAGGGCATTTTTAAAAGATCAGGGATAGTAAAGTTTGTGCCCTTTACCAAGTGTATAAAAAGGGAAACAAGGCAGACCCTTAAATCTGAAGTTCCCCTCCGGCTAAGAACTGAGTCTCAAGATACTACAAAGCGTTGCAAGATGGGGTAGGAAATCTGTCCATTGTTTTGCTTCCTGCCACAATCTTTTAGAAACCCCCTCACCCCTTCCCTATCTACATAGTGCCATGGACAAGCATTCAGGATCTAAGACCAGATGTGAGCTTCACCTCTCACTAGCTGTGGGACTTCGAGCAACTTGCTTAACCTCTCTGTCTTCTTAATTCACCTATAAAACAGTGACTGTAGCATTTTCCTAGAGGTTGTTGTTAGACTTAAACACATAACTGATTTTAGTGTAGTACTCGGTACACAGAGGATGTTCAGTATGCCTTGGTTACTATTATTACCCCTAGATGTTTGGATGGCAAATGAAAAGCAGGGGCATGTGGGGGGTGGGGGAGCTGAAGCGGCGGGAAGAAGGTGCCAAGGAATGTGTAGAACAGAGCGTGTGGTCTTAATAGATATAAAACGCTCTTCATTCACTCTGGAAAGAGTTTATCCCTGCTCCTCCACTCTTAATCGAAAGCTTCAAGTGAAACTTTTGGGGTCCCGTGTTTTAGGGTGAGGAAAGTTTTTACCAATACTGCACGTGAATAAGTAGTCCCTGCCTTGTGAGCCGGCTTCGGGATTCCTGCCATTTTCTTTGCTCCTCCCCCTGAGGGACCCCTGCTCCTGGAAGCCAAGCCTGCCACATTCGATGGCGATTTAAACATCCTCGAGGCACGGCGCCAAGTCAGCGCGGCTGGCCCGGCTCTTGGCTGGCCCCAGTTCTCTCCTTCTTGCCCCACCGTCCACGGGTTGGGGGAGGGGATGTTGAAAGGTTTGGCGCGGCTGAGAGTCCCCACGTGAGAGGGGCGGAAGTCCTCGCCAGGGGCCGGGGATGCGCGGCTGGCGGGTCCCTTCCATCACGGGAGACTAGACACCGTTTGATGTGTTATGACATGAACCCTCAATTAGATCACTGAGTTGAAACACTCCAATCAGGGGGCCCGATGCTAAGCAAGCCCCGGAAGGTCCAGCCCGAGGTCACCGCCGGTGACACATCAAATCAAAATCAGCGAGAGGGAAAGTGAGGTTTTCCCTTTATCAAGCTGGGGCTGTAGCCGACAACGCACCCCTCCTCCGCACGCCCCCTCCGGCCCGCGGCTCCGCACTCCTTCGCCCCCGCGCGGCGCGCAACCATCCGCGTAGCCTTCCCAGTCAACTAACTGCCTTTCTTCGCGTTTTCTGGGAACCCCAGGGCGTGGAGGAGACCGCGCTTTGGAAGCTGCGGTCCCGGTGGCCGCGACTACTCCGGCTGGGGACCGCGCGCAGCGTCAGCTCTCTGCGGCGTTCCGGACCTGAAGCCGGACGTCTGGATCTCGGTCCGGCTAGCCTGGAGACCTTGGCTCGGAAACACGGAGTCCCCCCCACCCCCAGCCTGGGCGTGCAGCCAGGCCCTTCCCTACCTCCGGCGCCCACGGGCGTCCAGTGCGGTGCCCGGGGAGAGGCTGCAGCTTAAGCAAGGGTGAAGCGAGCCCGTGTCTGACCCCGACCTGAAGCCCCCGGAGACCCCCTACACTTGCCTGAACGCCACAGGCTTCGGTAGACACCTCCGAGCGGCCTACAGAGTCCCTTGGTCCGGTGCCAAACTTACAGGGCTCAGCGAACGAGCGAGGGGTGCCTGCTTGGGGGAGGGGCGGAGATTCTTGGAACTTCCCTTAAGGAAAAGAAAACGCGCGCCCAACCACCCGCCGGCTTGGGCCTCCGGGATTTCTTCCCCTGGGGAAAGACCTCTTGAGCAATTTTCTCTGAGCCTCCCTAGTCTCTCCTTCGACTAGGGTGGTAGAAAAGGCGGACAATAAACAGAAGATGAGGAGGGAGGGAGACAGAAGCAAAGCGGGTGGAGGGAGAACTGCGAACTGCGCTGGTAGCGCGGTGGCGGGGACCCAGTTCCAGCGCTACAAAGAAACCACGTGCATTCGCGAAGGTGACTTGAGCAGTCCTAAAATCACCATGTAATACCCAGCGTTAATGCGCTGCCTAGACCTTTCAGCAGCTCATGAACCTCGCTGACCTCTGGCTGCAGCGGCGAATCTAGCGTGGGCAGGACCCTTGCCCGAAAGGAGGGCAGCTGCGAGGGAGGAGTCTGGGGTCTGGAGCCGGGCCATCAGCCGGCTCTGAAAAGTTTTGGGGACGGGCGGGTACCCAAGGCGGCCTGAGCAGAGCAGCCCTCTCAGCCCGAACCCCGGTGTTCGCTGGTTCCTGGGCGATCCCACATTCAGTGACCAGCAGTGGGAGGCGGGGAAGGGTCAACGCGCGGAGCTAAATCTCGGCAGGATGACGGAGCGTATAATAGCCTAAAACTTCTTTTAATCTCCTCCTTCTTTTCTTCTGGCGCCCTTCCCCTTTCCCTTCTCCCTTTTCTCCCTTCCTTTCCCGTCTCCATCCGCAGTAATGTCTCTCCACTTTAGGAGCTGAGTTTTGGCGCCTGTAGATCCCTGTACAACTTCTGGGACCGGGGGAACCTCGAGGTTCTCTCGAAGGCATCCCTCATGCTGCGGTCCAACAACCGCAGACAAGGGGGAGAGCGAGTGTTTCCATAGGCACCCAGGCAGGCGCCCGCACCCGCAAAGGGGACCGGTGACTGGGGCCCTCGTAGGAGCGCGGATAGAGCAGCGTTGGCTGTTGGCTGGCGAGAAAGATGGATGAGCACATCCGTGCACCTCTGTGGATTAAGGACTGTACCAACAGATCCCAAATTTAGCGGCCCTGCCCCTGCCCCAGCCTCGCCCTGCCAGTCGCTGCCTCTGCTTCTGCAGAAACCCCTCAGGTTCGGCCTCGGAGCTGGGGAACGCGCGCAGCGGTAGCAAATAAGCCCGAAGGCGCGGCGATCCCGCTCCGGCTCCCGATCCCCACACCCAGTACCGGACGAGCCCAGAACCCGTGCAGGCGCGGGGCGAGGGTCCTAGCGGACGCGGCTCGCTGACTCGCTCCTGCGACTGTAGAACTCGCCTCTGCTGGCTTTTCCCGGACCGGATGGGAACTCGTGGCATTGCCTCAAGGCCCGCCCGGTCCCAACGGTAGTTCAGACCTCGGACCGCGCACCCCGCAAAACCCAGGACCCCGTGGCACGGTTCCGCAAGGACCCGCCGCGACCCCTCTCCAGCCCAGGTTATTTGCCCGCCGCCGCACGCCCTTCACGTTTCCTTTACCAGCCACCAGAGGAGCGGCCACCACGCTGCTTTCTGCAAAAGGCAGGAGGAGGAAGGAAGGAAGAGAGAAAGGAAAGAGGAAGGAAAAATTGCAAACTGTAATTAAGTCTGCAGCCGCATCAAGAAACTTACTCGGACTTTTGAAAAAACAATTTGAGAAAAGAAAGGGGACGTGTCCCGAGCGGGCAGGGAATTCACAAATGCAGCCTTCTGCCAGAGCTGGAGCAGCGCCCTGGCTGCGGAGCTCCCGGGAAAAGAGTCGGGCGTCTTCTTTGCCACTTACCTAGTCCCCTGTCTACAAAGCTAGTGATCGTATTGGCCGACTTGGAGGACTGGAAGAAGCTGGCATTGATGCCCAGCTTCTCAGCGATGGAGTAAGTCCTGTAGATTGACAGCATGTATTCATGGGGCACCACGCGTGGGCCCTTGCCCGGAGGCTCCTGTGCCCGGGGCTGCTGCGGCGGCGGGCGCCGGGGCTCATCCTGCGCCCGCGGCTGTGGCTCCTGGAGCTCCGGGGGCGGCCGCGGCGTGGCACTCTCCTGCGGCGCCCGCGGCATCTTCCCTTCCTTGCGGCTTCGCATTCCCTTGGCGGAGCCCAGCTCGGCAGAGGACGAGGAGGATGAGATGGAAGCCTGCTGGAAACCGGGCAAATCCCACAGGAAACCGATGAGGAAGACAGCCGAGAGCAGGACCCTGGGAGTATCCATGGCGAGCGAGTGGCAACGTCTCCCCAAGAGACGGCGGCACAGCGCGCGAGGGGCACGGAGCGGCTGGACAGCGGCCGGGGCCGGGCTCCCGGGGCGGACTCGGAGTGCGAGGAGCCCGGTCCCAGCCACACAAACCTCGGCCCTGCCACGCCCCCTCCCGCCCCTTGCCGGGAGGGGAGGAGAGGGGAGGGAGAGGAGGAGGGCGGGGGGTGGGAGGGGAGGCCGGGTGGTGCGGGCAGGAGGTGTGGGGAAGAGGGTCCGCCGTGCGCCGCAGTGGCAGGGAGACGCAGCGCCCCCGCGGGACGCGCTCGGGGTTGCCGGGCGCTGCGCGCCGAGCGGGCCTCGGGCGCTTGGCAGGGAAATGCGGGCGCGGCCGCCCCACGGTGAGGAATCCAGGGGCATCCGCAGCGCCGAGTCCCTCTAGCACTGTTCGAAGCTCCGTCCCTCCGCAGCCGCGCGGGGTCTGGGCTCTCGCCAGCCGCCTCCACTTTCCTGGGAGCGTGCGGCCCGGGAGGAGGGAGGCGGAGGCGGCGCCCCCCAGAGACAGCTCAGTGTAGGCACCCCTGCAGTTCACTGCGCGCTGGCTCCGAGCGGTGCCTTCTTTCCTCTGCCCCAAGCTCCAGGCCGGCGGTTCGCTCCCATTAGGGCCCAGCCCAGGGCCAGAGAACCCTCGCCGCGCGCCAGGCGCAGGGCCCAGCCCTGAACAGCCCCATTCTCTCGGTGGGGTACCGCTCTCCACAAAGACAGGGCGTCTGTTTCCGACCGTCAAGGTCATGCAAAGGCCACTCTCTAAGAGTATGGATGGATGCTAAAAGCTGATGCGCTATCCTCCAGGCTGCAGCCCCTCTTCTCGAAGTCCCCAGCCTCTTCTGACGCTGGCTTTAGATGCTCCTTTCCTCTGCCTGCTCCCCGGGTCCTCTTGCCTCCGGCGGCCTGTCCCCCGCCTCCACTGCATCCCCATTTCCCCTCTCTTCCTTCCCTCCGCCTTCAATACTTCCTCCTTTCCCAAGTGCTTTCTGCATTCCGACCCCTCTCTCCGCAGCCTGCTCCTCTTCTCGCTCTGCCCTCCCAGCGCTCTCTGCCTTTCCACTCTCTCCCGCCCCGGCCTCCACCTCCCCGTCGGCGGACCCTCCCTTTGCAGCTCTTCCCCAATCTGTTTCTCTTCAGCCCAGCCTCGCCCCATCACGAGTTTCCTTTATCTGTCCCCAGATTCTGCGGGCCTTCTTCCCGCCCACTGCCCAGCTCCTTCCTGGGCCTGACGCTGCGAGTCGAGGCGGAGGGCTGCTTCTCTCCCCCAGCAAGCGCTCCGGGCTCTGGAATGCCGAGGACTGGAGTTTCTCGGCGCATTGATTGGGAGCTCAGCCCCCTACCCTAAAATGCTCTCCCTTCCTGTCCCAACAGCTCTGTGAGGTTGGCCTTACTATTATCACTTTCACAGATTTACAAAACGAGATTAAGAGCGGATACAGGACTTTTCCAAGGACACTTAGGCAAGAGGACATGCAGCCAGGGACAGAACCCAGGGCTCAGACACGAAACCCAGTGTTCTTCCTATTCCAGCAGAGAAGAACCCATCACTGGCTCATTATCTTCATTTCATTCTTGCCTTTTTTTTTCCCTTTATGGTTTTATTTGATCTCAGGCAACTTCTTCCCACATTGCCATGTGCATGTGTGTTCCCATCCTCTTCACCCTATGCCCTCTCGCTTTCTTCCCTTTCCTTTCTTTTGCTTTTCCATTTCTTTTACTGTCCCTGCAGGGACCACTCCCCTGACTGCGGAGGGAGGGAGGGAGCTGCGCGTCCTCGCCCCCTTCACTTCCTAGCGTCCTTCAGGCCTGGACTGTGCACCCTGCCCTGAGCACGGGCGCCTGGCCTCCCCCAGGTAATGGCAGAACAGAGAGCGTGTGAATTGGGCAGGGGTGTAAGTCCTTTACATATATTATTTGATTTAACCTTCAGAACAATCTTATAAGGTATTACCTCTCTTTTGCAGGTAAGGAAACTGAGGCCCAAGGAGACACTGCCCCAGAGTCTGGGTCCTTAGCCCCTGGGCTCTCGAGCTCTCCTCTTGCTCTCCTCTGTGGATGCCCCTTCTGGCCTAGTCCTGGTTTTGGTTTCAAGAGTTTTAACTTCTGATATTTTAGGCTCCAAGACTCTTTACCATAACCTTTTCTTCCTTCCTTTCATTGTGCTTTTAAGTAGCTTATTATTTATTCCTAAGCTAGCTGTATAAAAGGAGTTGGAACTGAATGAAAAAGTTGCTTCTCAAGAATTTTGCTACTACCACAAATCAAGTGCTTTTGCTTTCATGGGTTCCCTTCCATTCCTTCCTAATTTTTTTAGGCACACGTTATTTTCATATTAGTGTAACCCAAGAATAGATGCTGTGTTGTATTCTTCCTTTAAAACTTAACATTATGGCCAAAGCATGTCTGCTAGTCCTGTCCTTGTTGGGGCTTTTTCGGAGGGGGTGGGGGCAGGAGGGCATAATCTTGTATTACTACCAAATCCATTTCCTTCAACATCTCTCCGCTGGGCCCTCTGCCCCTCTCCGCAGGTCTTCACCGCCCTGCTATGGCCTGCCAACGCCACCTCTGCAAATCCACAGACACAAAACCCCTCATTCCTCAATTGCAGGTGCAGCATGTCCCACCCTACCTACCTGGCAGCCCGGGATGCACACATGTGTCTTGTTTAGCCTGCTCTGTCCATCATGCCTGAGTGTCGATCCAGAGAAGCCTTTTCCTTGCAGTCTCTCTCTACCTCTTCCCTCTGGGCAATGAACACTTGTGGTTTGTATTATCAGATTTTAATTTCTATCAGTATGAGTCTGGCTAATGATGATTCATGGGTTCAGACTTTCCATTCAATGAAATGTTTCCTGCCAGCAACTGTGGCCCTGTGTATTCTCTTTTCATTTTGCCCACAGCAACTGTTGTCTGTTTCGAGTTATCCGTAAACAGGAAACAAGGTGATGAGCCTATTTTCTCTGGCTCAGGATCCCTCAGCACATTAGGTGGAATCATGTGTAAGAGTAAGTGGTACTAAGACAGTGATCACAAAGGATGAGGTCCATCTTCCAGGCCTCAGGGTTCCCCTGGGCAGATATTACCCTCCTTTACTGCTACCAGGCTCTGGTCTACGCAAGGAAAGTGCTGGCTGCCCTTTGCCGGAAAGGGTTGCAGCATTGATTTCACAGGTGAGCCAAGAGAAAGACAGATGAACTCAGTGGAGGGGCTCAAGGTCGCAAGCTGTCAGAAATCTAGCCAGAACTAGGAAGCACTTCTTTCTGACTCCTAATCCAACTCTTTTCCCATATTAAAAAACACTCAATTTTTAATTAGAGAAACAATGATCCACAGTAACATATAAAGCCTTTTCTCTTCCTCCTTTTCAAATGAGAATTCACCCCTATGTTAACAGGCCATGCCAAGGCCTTTACTCTGTGTGTGCATGTGTGCATTTGTATTGTAAGCAATAAAGGTAGAAAGGACACACTACCTGTCAAAGTCTGCCTTTAGATCACACATTTACAGAATTTGAAATACTATAGAATTTAAGTTCTCAGTCCAGTCTTAAGTTCTTTTGTAATTTCTTCAGCAAGTTCATCTATGAAGAATGTGAAAAAAGGCAAGAGGCTCTTGAACTGAAGTGAGAAGGCACCTTTAGCAGCTCAACCAGGGAGTTCTTTTCCCGGTTAGATTTTTTTCCCCCCACAAAATAGAAGGAAATACAGACAGCTGAGCAGTCTGGTATGTCCTGCCCCCCTGTGGAAACTCATGGAATTACTTGTGGAAAACCAAAGTCTTGCTGGACATGGAAACATTTACAGGAGGGTGCAAGATGGACAAGAAAAGTGACGTCTATTAACGTGATTTTAAGAAAGTAGAGAGTCATATATAAGTTGTGTGCAGCATTTGGCAATAAAATATCTGCAAGTGAAAGATCTGCCTGCCCAGAGACAGGACCAAAAACAATTTCCATGTTACTATCTGAAATCTGTGCTCTTTGATCTTTAAATTATTATATTAACCCAAGAAGAGAAAGTTCTCTTAAGTAAATAATAAATTTATCTCTTTTATTATGTAATTTTTATTGAAGTGTCACTTGAAAGACAACTTTTATAAAATGACTAAGGCGATTCTCTTAGTATGGTCCCTACTCACAGTTGAAGCAACCATCATTTAATATACCCTAGGAAGATATTCTAGCACCTGAAATTTGCACAAATAAGATCATTTCTTTAGTTTGAGGTACTATCTTTATAAGATCCCAGTTAAAATACAAATGTCAGTAGAATCCCCATTTATATTTTACTACTACTATTATACTATTTTGAATAAATTGGTCAACTGATCATTTGATAGGAATAGACAGCTGACTTAAAATTTGTGGATTTTTATTTTAAAAAGGGTCATGACAAAAATAACAGAGGCAGTGGATTTAAAATTTCGTTCCTTCGTGCTTCTAGAGCTTTCAGCAACAGGAATGAGAGTGCTAACCAGGAGGGGTTCACGTTGCCCATATTTGCTCCAACCTGAGCAGCCCTGCTTTTATGTTTTTGACATTTCCAAAAAATTTTGTCTGCAGGAAAGGTCACTCAACAAAGAAAGAAAATGAAAGCCATTGGCTTAGAGTCCTGAACTACGTCTCTCAAAGAAGGGGGTCAAGGGTGAAAACTGTATGGAGTCCTGAGCATCAGGAAGAAAGGTGAGGACTCTGTTTCCTTTGAAAAGGCAGAAAAACATTAAAAAGCCTCTTAGGGAAAGGTGCACATAAGATAGAACATCTCTGTGACTTAGACTGGGAGGTACCGGCTCTGTGATTCCTTCTACTTTCCCCAATTTATGTTGAGACTGATTTTTTCATTTACCTTGTTTGGGTACTCCCATTCCTTCACAGAGTGATTTACAGACAAGTTAAATGAAACAGAATGAAGAGCTGTGCCCAATGATATGATAGTCATAACCTCTCTGGGCGTCAGCTCCCCCACTCTATC